GATAAAATTTTAAGTTCTTCCTTACTTATTGGTTCAGGTTTTAAGTCTTTGAGGGTTCAATACAGCATTTARCAATGTTTGTKTTGATTAAWCMCTAATAAATAAGAAAATAATAAAAAGAAATTAGTATATAAACACACAAAATGATTATTTTAGTTTAATAGTGTTAATTATAATCTCAAAAAAGAATGAATAAGGTAGTATTTTATAGTAGGAAGTAGAAAACTGCTAGGCGATTAGGCGAGGCGAGCCTCAAAGGGCGCCTTGTTGCCTAGGCATCGCCTTGACAACTATGCCTCCCCATGAATTACACCTCTCAACCTCCTGGATAACACCTTGGCCAAGAGCTTGTAAGGGCTGCAAATTAGACTTATTGGCCTGAACCCTTTTAACTTCACTGCTCCATCTTTCTTCTGAATCAAAGTAATAGAACTTATATTTGAATCACTTTTTAAACATTCTTGAGGATAAAGAGACACAAAATGCAAACCCGGTTGCAATGTGAATTTACCATCACCAAGAAATCAGTATACTATTTGAAAAGTAATTGAAATTGAAATAAAAACATGCTAAGGGTTGCCAGTGGACTGACAGATGAATGATGTGGACGCGTATTGGGAGCAGCAGCAGCAATTATCCGGTGTTTTCATCCTATCCAATTCGGCAGCAACAGTCTTATCCATTCGGCAGATTAGATTAGACTATCTTGTTATTCTTATCTTATCTTATTAAGTTAGTAGATTAGATTATCTTATCTTATTAGATTAGGATTAAGAGAGACTTATCTTATTAGATTAGGATTAAGAGAGATTATCTTATCTTATTAGATTAGGATTAAGAGAGACTTATCTTATCTTATCTTATCTTATTAGATTAGGATTAAGGGAGACTTATCTTATCTTATCCTATCATATTAGATTAGGATTAAGAGATACTTATCTTATCTTATCAGTCTTATCTTATCAAGATAGAGCTGGAGGTCTCCCTATTCAGCAAGGAGTCTCCCTAAGAGCAGGACTCTTGTAATCTCCTATTTAAGGAGCCACTATTATTGAATRAAGGCATCGAAAATTTCAGTCAAGAAAGAGAGCAAGGAGAGTTRGGTRATCTCTTGGACAAATCACCATTAGGGCGCCAAGATAGGTTCATCAAGAGTAGGGTGGAACAAGGGAAAACAGGAGGTTTTCCCCGTGGACCGACCCGTGACGAGATCCTATTCTCGGGCCCATAACAATGAATTAGCAAATCAAGGGGAAGTAAGGGATCAGTTAAATTGGGGCCAAGCTGGATAGGAGCTAATGTATTTTCTTTGTATGGAGGTTTGCTGAGGCGCCTTCTATTTGGGTTTTCAGCTTTGCTGTATTCACATTTTATTTCTGATTAATAAAACTCAGTACTGTTATTCATGAGAAAAAGTAGTAAGCATAAAAATAAATTTATTAAATGCATTGATTTGTTAAAAATATTAAGTATTTTAATAAGTAGAACATTGGAAAGAGTGTTGTTTGAAATGAACTGAGCATATTAGCAAAAGGCTTCCACTTATTGTGAAGGAAAAATCAGATACATAAGGAGAGAGCTTCCATGTCTTACCTTTCCATTGGATCAGAAGTTTGCTACATTGGCAATTAAATATTGTTGTTGGACTACAATGATCACTTATTGTGTTTTTATTTTTCAATGTTGAGATATTGGACTACAATGTTTTTATTCTTTGTGGGCTTTAGTTATTATGGGCCTCAGGCCCCTTTTGTTGTTTTTATTTCTTTGTTTCTCTCATTCTTATTAACAGCCACCCTACTAGGTGCATTGATGTAATCTCCACTTTATTTTATGATAGATTGAATAAAAGAGAGAAAGTGGCTGGGAGAAAGCTACAATCTCTTCTTCCAAAACCTTCTTTTCTTCTTCTCTCTTCTTCTTCATTGGTGTTTTAGATCTGTTTTCTACTGTTTTTACTTTGATTAAACATACTGTTTTACAGCATTAACTGTCAACTGTCAATAAATTTTGTCCCAAAAATAATGATAAAGAATCTAAAAAAAGGCATTGAGGTGATCTTTGGCTTTCTAGGAAAACTAAAGAATACATTATTTTTTTTATCAAGTTAAATGCCTTATCATCTCAAATAACACTTAAAATTCTAATGATCCTCTCGACCTGCTATGTTTCTCCACACAATATAAAATAAATTGTTACTGTTTACATTTTGTCTGCTTTATTGTTAATTTGCAATGTCTGGAATTAGGTTGATCTTGTTGAGCCAGTATCACATTTTCTGGAGGCTGCCCGTGAAAGCTTGGTTCCTGAGAACAGTACAATTTCAGATATGCACAAGGCAGTAAATTTTTATCTACTTCCACTTCAGGTAAACACTATGCAAGTTCAATCATGCTCCCCCTTCCAAAAGGCAGTCATGGACACCTCAAAAGAAGTGCCATGAGCACACATGCAGGAAGCGAATATGTAATTAATATAAGATGATTACCAAGAATTCCTCGATGTTTTACAAAATGCAGCATTATTTTATCTGTCATAAAACTGACTGATGGTGCCCAATATTTTAAATCCCAGCATAGAGGTTGAACTGCTTTTCTCTCCGGTCAATGGGTCAGCAATTCAACCATTTGGGTCAAGAGGTCAATTCGTGATATCATTATTATAAAATTTTCAAAAATTTGAAAAGATCAATAATCCATTGAACTGGTCAGATGGGTCAGCAGTCAATTGTCTGGGTCAATGGTTCATTGACTGAGTCAATAGCTTTTTTAAAACAGCAAATTAGAGGATGACAAAAACTGGGTCTTGTGAACCATTTCGACCCCAAAAATGATCTGATTTTTTTTTTTCTTTTGAGAAAGAAATGATCTCAATGTTCAATCCTCACTCTGCTTACTATATCAGAAGATAGCAGAACAGGAGAGAAAGATGGGTGCACAGCAAGGGTTTGAGAAGAAAATCCTAGCTGCCAATTGGTAGAAAAGATTAGTCTCCCAGTTGGTCAGCAGGTATTTATACTTATATATGATTTAAGGACAAAATTACAAGAGTAACCCTGTTTAGTAAAGAGTACATAGACTGACTAAACCACCCCTACTTAAGTTAAAACATTAAAAGACTCAAATAACCCTGTTCCACACAACTGAAATAAAAGAATCAAACAAATGAATAAGGTAGAAACAAGACAAAACACAAACTAATAGAAAGACATGGCCAATCACAATTAAAATGAAAAGTAACTACATTAAGAGGTTTCACCTTGAATATCAACGTTTACAAATTAAATAGAAACAGAAAAAGAAAATCAAAATCCACCTTTACAAAGATAAAGTGACCCTCAATAAAGCTATTCAAATTCCAGATTAGTGTTCTTGGATGCATATGATGCATACACCTTGATGTGTGCATTGAGATGAGATTTCCTCAAAATGTTACAAAGTGCAGCATGTGCTTACGTTGTGCCAAATGAATGCTTTGTAGCTCAAAGCATATATGAAGAATACACATCAGAGATGCTCCAACCCTGAAGTATACACACTGCCAATACTGCCCTTCTTTATGAAAGATATGAAATTGAAAAGAAAAAGAAATTGAATGTAGTGAGACATACACACACACAGAGAATTATCAGAAAAATGAGACAGATTTTTACTATTTTCATCTTTTGTAAAAGGGTGTTGAACAGAGAGGGGAGAGTGATTCAGTGATAACAATGGAGAAAAGGAAAGGAAACTAAGAAATTATATACCTTTTCTTTTCTCCTTTTCATCTTTTGTAATTATATTCCTTTAATTTTATTAGTACTAGGATCTTACTTTTTCAAAAAAGTGTTAGCACTTGGATAGATGATAACATATTGCTCTACTGATGCTTGTCATAATTACATATTAATTCTATGGGACTGTAAAATTGCATCTTTGCCCCTAGAACCATACAAAAACTAATTAAACATGAATTGTGAATAAAGTTTATCTATTTATTCACATTTAAGGGATGGTATCCAAAAGATGCTAAAAATAAAGCAATAATTATCAAGTACTAAAAACTGTAAATTACAGGAATAAAAACTGTGCATGTTTAAATCAAATAAAGGAGGTAACTACTCATTTATTTATTCATGAAATATATTCATACTAGGCAGGCTTGCACTGAACACCTTAATCCTTGTGCCTTAGGCTAGTGAAGCACCTCGCGCCATGCTTCATCATATGAAAAAAGTGTTCAGGATGGATGAACAGTCAATCCACAATCAGCACACAATTATCAGGCACTAATCCTCTACTAGAGTGCCTTTTCCTTCAAACATGCTTCTTTCTTTTCAAATGCTTCAATGAATTAGAAATGAAACCATACTCCAATAAAAAGGATAGATCAATTTGCTGTGTTCAACCATCCCATATCGTTTTTTAATGATTGATCAGAAGAATTTTATTAGATCTCATGATAAATAGTACAAAGTGTTGCGAAATATAGAGGGAGAGAAGAGGAAAATTTTCTTTGTTGATCAAAAACATATTGAGCATACAACTTAAATAAGAAAAGATAGGAAAGACAAACCCCCAGAATCTCTCTCAATCAGGGATTGACTAAATCTTTCCCTTAATCCTAGGATATGACTTTCCTAAATTTATTCAAATCTAATCTTTCCTAAATTTATTCAAATCTCTTAATCAATCAAATCATATCTTTCTTAATTTGCCACAAATCATATCTTTCTTAATTTTCCGACACTCCCCCTCAAGTTGGTGCAAAGATATCTATCATGCCCAACTTGCTAACTTAAAGTTCAAATGGCTGTCTCAACAAGCCCTTAATCAAAACATCTGTAACTTGCTGCGTGGTTGGTACAAACGGAGTGCAGATTATTCCTTCTTCAAGCTTCTCCTTTATAAAGTGTCTGCCAATCTCAACATGTTTAGTCCTGTCATGTAGAACCGGATTATGAGCAATGCTGATAGCTGTCTTGTTATCACAATACAGTTTCATAGAAAAACTCACTGGTCTCTTAAGATCAGCACCCTCTTTAGCCAAAGAACCTCACACACACCTTGAGTCATTGATCTGAATTCAGCCTCAGCACTACTTCTAGCAACTGCACTTTGCTTCTTGCTTCTCCAAGTAACTAAATTGCCCCAAAGAAATGTGCAGTACCCCGAAGTTGACCTTCTATCWGTRATCRADCCTRCCCARTCCGCATYTGTATACACCTCAACCCCTCTCTTCTCATTTTTCTTGAAGAAGAGTCATTTTCCTGGTGTGCCTTTTAGATGCTTAAGAATTCGATACACAACTTCAAGATGTTCTTCGTACCGGGAGTGCATAAATTGACTCACCATGCTCACAGCGAAGGCAATATCAGGACATGTATGTGATAAGTAAACCAATCGTCCTACCAGCCTTTGGTATCTACCCGTATCTACTAGAACCCCATCTGTAACTTCTCCAAGTTTAGCATTAACTTCTGTCGGAGTGTCTGAAGGTTTGCATCCACTCATTCCAGTTTCTTTCAAGAGATCTAGAATATATTTTTGTTGTGAAACCACATTGCCCTTCTTTGATCTTGCCACTTCCATTCCAAGAAAGTACCTTACTTGGCCCAAGTCTTTAATCTCGAATTCCTTGGCTAAGCTCTGCTTTAGTCTGCTCATCTCTTCAATATCATCTCCAGTCAAGATTATGTCATCAACATAGACAATCAGAACCGAAACCTTGTCTTTGGTGGATCTTTTTGTGAAAAGAGTATGATCAGGTTGTTCTTGACTATATCCTTGACTTTTGAGGAACCTCGTGAATCTTTCAAACCAAGCTCTGGGAGACTGTTTAAGTCTATATAGAGACTTTTTTAGATTGCATACCTTAGTTCCAAACTTCTCAGTGAAACCAGGTAGAGGCTCTATATATACTTCTTCTTCCAAGTCTCCATTCAAAAAGGCATTCTTCACATCCAGCTGATTCAGTGGCCAGTCAAGATTAGCTGCAACAGATAAGAGTATTCGAACTTTATTTAGCTTCGCCACTAGAGAAAAGGTCTCAGAGTAATCCACTCCATATGTCTGAGTAAAGCCTTTAGCTACTAGGTGAGCCTTGTATCTCTCCAAGGATCCATCTGAGTTGTACTTCAGAGTGAACACCCATTTACAACCAACAACTGTCTTTCCATATGGCAGATCCACTTTCTCCCAAGTAGCATTCTTTTCCAAAGCTCTCATCTCCTCAAAAACAACTTCTTTCCACTCAGGAACATTTAG